AATATAATCCATAAAATATATGCATATGTCCGAATTCAATTTACATATACAATGGAAGGAAACTATTTGGCACAAACACATTCGTGATATTAGCTTTATACGCAGTCACCCAGAAATTTGCATTAACGAATCTTTATGTTTTGCATGAAAAGTGCAGAGGACTCAAAACTTTATAGTTTTGTCAAGAAAATAGTGAACTAAGCCTATAATTATAACTATAATTATATATAGACTTGTTAGACCTTGATTCCCTACTCACAAACACAATAGTTCCTTCGTTTCTTTTCTTTTTCTGCTGCAATTTTTACCCATCTCTGAGTCAAATTTTCCACAATATGTACATTACACTTAAATATTTTTACATAAACATACTAAACAAATTATATAGATGCCGTAGGGATTTTTCCAAACTCTCTACTCACATCATCAAAGACAATAGTCCTCGCATTTATTTTTTGACAGAAACCTTAACCCACCTTTGGGTTGAGTTTTCCATACTAAAACAGAACTGCAAATAACTTTTTCCTCAAGTAGTTTTGGCAGCGATTTGGTAATACCAGTACAATAAATAATTGAGTGGAGTGAGAATATTTGTAGACAAAGATTATAGTTTTCGAAATTAAGCACATTTCTTCTAGGATAGCAATATCAACTAAACTTCAGGTAAAATTTTCCAAAAAGGAAACTTGTTAATTATTGCCCTTTGTTTGCAATAAAAGGTTTGAGCTATGAGAACACTTTAAAATACACGAAAGTGTCGTCAGTAAGATTTATTTGACAATAAGTTTCTATACAAACATTTCAAATCTACAAATAACTTTGTATGATTCGATGACTAAAACCAAACATGTCCCTTTTTAAAAAGGGATATTTATAAAACTAAATCACAAACTATTTTTTCAATCAGCATCAGAAAAACAAGAAAATAGGGATAAAGAACATCTCAAAACCCTAAAAAAATTCGGAGTTAACTTATTTCTGTTAAGTGAAAATTTTAATATATTTTCGATATGTTGGAAAATTCAAGAAGCAAACTCGTTTTATGAATTATTACGGACACTGTAAGACTCCCACCTATTATCTACCACCAACTGAAATCCTTAAAAAAATCATAAAGATTTCGCTTAGCCGTAAAATACGATCATATCCATTTTACTACCAAGTACAGTTGATTTGCTTTTTTATTTTTACTGCACCCCAATGCCATTATGATCATGCTAATGATACTGTGGTCCATAAAATAGCCACGGCTACTGCCCATTTACTGGCCCGTTGGCTCCCGTTGCGTAAAACTAAAGTTAAAACCGGCAGCCGGTGGTTCGCAATTGGCCGTTGTGGCAACAACATCTAACTGCCAATTGGCGGCAAAAAGTGGCAAATGCAATTTAATAAATTAATTACCTCAATTAGTTGTTGCAATTTTATTGAATTTGTTGTTGTAAATATTGTGCAAAGACTTTGCATAGCAAGTGGTTGGATCTGAATTTAAATTTATGGCCCATTTCAAATGCTCAGTGAAAAGGATGGCTTAGGCTGGCAGTTTGCCTATAGTGCTCGAGGCGTCCCGAAGATTATTCAAATAAAATGTAAGTAATAGTGATTATAATTGATTTTTGTTAAATAAATTGCAAAACTGTCTCTTTATTAATTGAGCTAACTAACTGAAGAGTTTTAAATAAATAGAGTGGGCGTTATTCTATTAGGCAGATATGCGTGCTAATATTGACGGTATATTGAAGCCATTAGTTTCGATTAAAATAAATAAAACTTTTAAATTATAAACCTATGAGGATCACCTTTGTAATAAAATAGTTGCTTTGTCAATTTTTGCAACATTGTATTTGCATTTTAAAGTTGTGGAATACTCTGTACATGAAACATACTTACAAGAGTATATTAGGTTTTCGGGAGGTGATTATACGAACGGCGTTACGCAAAACTCCATTATGGGGGGAGTAAATAAAGTCCAAAAAGCGTACATTTATATGCATGTGTGTCTATGAGTGTCTATTGATCTGTTTTTTTACAGTACAGAAACAGCTGATGGCAAAGCATTGGCAGATATTGTATTTATGATTATAACTATTATTCGTAATTTCTTTAATTGTGCAAAAACCGGACAAAAGGAATCGTCTTGACTTGTCGATTATTTATTAAGTACATTTGTGGCTTTCATGCTTACTTCATTTCCTTACATTTTTTAAGAGAATTCGTACGCTCTCTTGCTTTTCTGATTGATCTAATGGCGCTCTCTTGGTCCTTTGTGACAAGTTGGGGCGCTCGACCAGCGAAACTTCAACTTGTTGGTATGTCTTCAAACAACAGACTCAACACAAAAATGTAGGCAAGTTAACATTCTGTTATACAACACATTCGGCAAGTTCTGTAAATTGAGTTTTTTCTTTCTTTTTATGTTATGTTATGGTAACATTTTGTCTGCTAATATTCAGACGTGTACACACATACATGAAAAAAAAATCATTAATATAAATCGCTGCGTACTTACATTTACATACAGATTAATTGCAATCGCTTTAATTAAAAATTATTTTCAAATTAAACACCTTTACTTATTTAAATCACATTTACAAACACTTAAAAAAAGAAAAACAAAAATTGAGGCACTGCGCAATTTATTTGAAATCACGGACACGCATACACACATAAGTATGTATGCATGCACGCAGCACATTAATCGCGCGGCATTTTCGCATTAATAAACACATATTTTGCACACTTCACACACAACTTAATATGTACATATGCTTTTACATAATTTTTCTAATGTTTAAACTATTAATTAAACATTTTCTCAATGTTTTCGGCAACTCGAAATACAAACGGCGCGACGCGTTCAACAGGTCGAGAAAAACTGAGCCTTGCATTGCAGCTGCAAGCAGAATGCGCGCTTGAAGAATGTAAAAGTGAAAGCAAGGAATCAAAAATCATAACTGTAAATTCGCTCCCGCGCCTGCCTTACGTATTTCGTTTCATGCTAATTTTCTCACTTGAAATTGTTCGTTGATCGGTTGTAATTTTTATACCTTTTTACCCGTAGGGTAATAATATGTCAGACTGTAGTTTGCCAAACGAATTAAAATATAAAACAAATCTCTTTCACTTCCATGCCGAAAAGTCTAAGGATAAGTCTCACGAATTTATGCAGCGACTTCTTATAATTACTGCAGTCCAGACCTTACTTTCTCGTTCGGCTTATGAGCGTCCCAGACACTAGTCTTGCGGCGATAGATCCAAGAACTACGACATAAATGGATTTTGAACACGTATTATTTATTTTGAAATAGTATAAAAATAAATATATTTAGAAAAATGTCTTCTAAATTTTCCAAAATATTATAGCATTTTCGATTTATACAGGAAAAATATTTACATATACATATATATAGATTTGAATTCGTACATGCATTTGACTTTTAAGTTGAAATAGTTGAGACGATTAAACAAACATTTGGCGTAACAAAATAACAATTCTTTTATTACCGATCTACCATTTCCCAAAACTATAATTTTCGTAATTAAAAACGAATTTATATTTTCCTCTTGACTCACCGTCCCATTTTTTGTTGCTTATATTTATTTATAGATTGTTAGATTTTGAAATACGAGATTATTATTATAGGTTTTTTTGCGATGGGAACCTCCAACTATCCCATATTGTCTAGTGGTTAGGATACCCGGCTCTCACCCGGGAGGCCCGGGTTCAATTCCCGGTATGGGAAACTATGAAGTTTCTTTTATATTTTTTTTTATATTTATTTTAAAAATATTTTACGACTCAGATATGCCTTATTTGTATTCAACAAGCGTCTAATTAAATATTCCAATGATGCAAACATATATAAAATATACCAAGGGTTAAAAAATAGTTTTGCAACTTAATTGTAAATTTCTAAATTGTATTTCTTAACAGCTTTTATGACTATTGATAACAAAAATAAATAAATAAAGCGTATGACTATGGATTATAAAAATAGCTATATAAAAAATAAATACTTTTTTAAAATAAGCACTAGCATGAATCAGTGTCTCCAATGCTTGACGATTTATAACATTAAAGTTGAAAAATTGATTTCTTGTACATTTGCAAAAAAATCCGTTTCATTATTGATGTTATATTTTGAAACTTTTATAACAAAGATATATTTGCAAGCTTGAATTTATTTAGGAGTAAAAGGCTGGCACTAAAGACCAGAGCCCAATATAAACGAACTGAGGTGTTAACTCGTAAAATATTTAATCCCGCATTTAATCTAACCAACATGCATTCATTCTAAACTTTTCCCCAGATACTAAGACGTTCAATGGGAGGAAAACGAATGGACTGGCAACACGAACTAACAATAACTCATGGCATTATGTCAGGTGGACTTGTCACCTGTGAATTGCTCCATGTGCGGTTGAAAATGTATCTGTCAGATAAGTTAATTTATAGTGTTAGCGCAGACGTGACTAAACTATGTTACAAGCCCCACACTGTCCGGACTAGTGTTTATGCATAATATATGGCTAATCAATTGACCAAACGAACTAAGCAACTGTGGCTAACGGCCAAAAGCCATTACAATGAAAAATAAAAATCCAAAAATGCAGAGCTCAATAAAATTAATAGAACATTGGCTGCATATTGATGCGACAATGTGGAGCATGCAGTGGCCATATACTCGTATTTATTTACGTTCATAACCCAAATCCGCAATGTAACTGCATATGCAAATGCAATAGCGCATAGCAGTTGGTTTTTTAAATTTTTGGGGTCAATGTCAATATTGTTTAGCTTCGATGCGGTGCGATTCGATTCGTTTTATTTTATTTTGTTTTGATTTGCCTGAATTCGCTTAAGTGCTGGCCCAGACAAAGTGCCGTCCTCCAGGTCGTGGCACCCGCGAGCGCATGCGCGCCCAGAATTTTAAGCAGCCAACACATATTCGAGGAATGTATAAAAATTGGCCCCACAACCAAAGCGCTAAACAGTTACAACCATGGAACTCAGCTCACTGGTGCTTGCCATATTCGCGTCTGTGCTCTGCCAGAGTCTGGCCCAGGCGGATGTGGGCGTTGCCCTGCAGCAGCGCCGCCGTCTACAGCAACAACAATACCTACAACAACAACAACAACCACAACAGAGGCAGCAGCAGGCAGCTTATCCAGCCGCCGGTTATCGGCCATCACGTCAATTCAGGCTGCCAGCACAGAATCTGGAGCAAATAGCAGCACCGGCCACCACCTACGGTGCACCGCAGGCATCACAGGCATCACTGGCACCACAGGCACCACTGGCACCACAAGCACCACCACAGCAGCTCTACCAAACACCCGTCGCCGACACACCCATCCAGTCCGCTCCGGCACGCTTGACCGCCGCCAAGCCGGCCCGTCTTACCGCCAACAGTGAGGCCCAGGAGGACATAGACGATGCCGCCGAGGAGGTGGAGGTCCGCAAAGCTGTGCCAGCTGCTGCTCCAGCGGCAATCGCACCCGTCGCCCCTGTGGCACCCGTCCAGCCCACCATTGCCTATTATCCAGCTGGCGCTGTTGGCTTTGTCCAGCCAACGGCATTTGCCAAGTTTATTGCCGCACCAGGCGCAGCCGCAGCACCAGCGGCTTATGTGGCTCCAGCAGCCGCCACCGCTGCCTACACTCAACCACAATACTATGCCGCCTACAGTGCACCAATTTTTGGTTAATTGTCACTCAACAATCTGCCCTACAGTCATAACTACTAGACATCGAAAACTATATCTGTACGAAGCCTGAAAAAAGTGAGTTTTAAAATCCACACAAAAAAAAATGATGCCATAAATTGAATTTAAATGTCCCTGAATTTTTCGAGCTCGAACTCACTTTTTTCAGGCGTCTTCTAAACATAAGTAGCATATGAAACCTTAATAAACCCTTAGCTATGCAAAACTTGGAAAACATATCATATTTTTCACATTTCAACTACAAGTGAAATATCTGTGAATCTAAATAATCCATTCGAAACAGAGCAACCAAATTTTTGCTAAGAAATACATTTTGTCTTACCGTTTCTTGTGATTTAAATTTGTAGTCGGTTATTCGGAATCGAATTCGAATTTCTTGACAGTAAACAATTTAATAAAAAGAATATTAAAAAAAATATTGAATGTGTTTTGTTCTACTTATAGTCTTGAGAAACTAAAATGATAGCCAAACTATTTTCGTCAAAGAAAACGATCATCGGAATAATTTTATTAAATTTAAAGTTTAAAAAATAATTAATTAATAAATTAATTATTTAGTTAATTAAAAATTAATTAATTAAAAATGTTCCCCTTGACTCACTGATTAAGGATATATACAAATTTTGTCCTTAATCCTTATGAAACAGACAAAATTTCAGCTTGAGTTTTATTGTTGATCAAAAAAATAAAACTCAAAGAATAATCATTATTTTATAAGTTTTATTTTTTTGCTCATCAATAATGATTATTGGTTAATTTTTAAAGTAAAACTCAAAATTAATCATTAAACTGTGAGCGAATTAATAAAATTAAAAAATAATCATTATTTTGTAATTTTTTTAATAAGACTTATAATGATTACAGTCCCTGGTTTAAACCAACTCATGAGTTTATTTCTTTTCTGGCGAATCTGTGAAAGGCGATAGGAATAAAATCTATAACGAAACCAAGGCACTTGCCGAAGTACCAGAACTAATTTGTGGAGGAAATTTTCTATTTTCGATTAGCATTGTGAAATTAAGGAATTTCAAAAACACCGCGTAGTTTTTTGATTCTTTTAAATAAATTGTTAACAATCAAATAACAAATTCAATTTCCAGTTTATGAGTATTAATCTAATAATAATACTTAACAAACTATTATTTATTTATTTGTGAACTCTCTTAAACCTTTTTAACACTAACTTAACAAATCTGAAGATTAATTAATCAACACTATTTAATTTTGTTAATCTTATTTTCTTCAATACATTTCAGATTTACAGAATTTGCATCTTATTTTATTATATTTAATTTGAACTGCTTTTTAAATATCTTTGTTTTCATTCAATACAACAATTGCCTTCTTGTCTATAAAAAATTGTTTATTTCTTTGTTAGTTGCCTTGGTTTGTATAATTAAAAAATGTTATCCACATTCTTTAAGAAATTAAATTATATATTTGCTAATTGGATCGTTCTCATTTCTGCCGATTACCGCAGTCTGAATACATTTGCATCGACAACATTTCATCGATTAATTTCGATAAGCGACTTTAAAGATAACTTTAATCAGTCCTTTCTTATCCCATCGCATGCTCGATCCTTTGCTTATTAAGCATAACGTACTGATAAATCTTAATTCATATGTATTCACATTTCATTAATAGGTTCACTCCGATGAGTGCCAGCTTTGTGCAAAAATAAAATGCGTATAGTCTTGGCTTATAGTTCATAAAACTTCTGCATGGCCAAGGCAGAAAGCAGCTTAAATATGGTAGGCCTGTCTTAAAGTCTAACGAGCATTTGTCGAAAGAAAAAATGGCTTTTATGCGACGGACTGAAGTCTGAGTGAGCAAAGATAATCTATTATGACCGTAGCAAGAAATAAATCCCAACTCGGTAATCCATCATTTTACGACTTGGCAATCAAAATAAGGAGTTTAGCTAAAATGAGTGAGGCGACTAGGCGATACGGAACGGAACGGGACGGCACCGGACGACACCGGACGACCCATCGGACAGCACGACCATGGCCAATCAACGACAACAAAGTTGAGCAACTAGCCAACCAACCAACCAACTAACGAACAAGTCGAAAGTCATGTTAACCAGAACTAGAAGTGCGCGCAATGGTCAAAACCAGGAAACATGCATTTTAGACATGCTTGCATACACATTCAGGCCAAATCAACTGCCCGGCCAATCTGCCGGCCGGCCAGACGATCGCACTGGGCGACATGACATTCGTTCCTTACCTGAAGGATGGAAGGGCATTGTTGTTTGCAAAAAACCCGAAACGGGTATTAAATGTTTATTTGTATGGTAAGATGAGTCGACAATGTTATGTCTACTTGACGATCTATTCGCCCATTTGTCTGTATGATTGCAAGGATCTCGGAAAGCTTAAGAACTAGATTCAATCAAATTGTTGTGAGATTATCTCAAGTTTATAGCTATGTTTACAGGTTGCCCCAAGACTTTGTAAAATTTGGCCCCAAATTGGGGAACAACAAGGATTAGAAATCTTTTCCAAATCTTTGTAAAACATTAGTTATTCATAGGATCAATTAATGTACCCAACAGAAACTGTATTTTTTAAAAATAAATTATATTTGCTTTTTAAAAAAAGTGTTGAAAATATTTATGTTCCTAAACATTTTTTTTAATATCTTTTTTTAATACTAAAAAATATTAAAGCTTTTTTATTCAGGCTTTGTACTTAAATTTAATACGGAATTCTATGAGTTATGTAAATATATAGTTGTAATATATTGTACTAATAGACTGTGCTGAAAGTGTGGACTGGAAAAAAATATTCCTAATAGTAACCCTTTCCATGCGTTTTTAAAAATTTTATTTAAAAGTTTCAACTGAAACAGAAAACAACATTTTGATTTTTTTTTCAGAGTCAAATAGTATTTTAGAAAAAACTTGTCTTTTGTTTTTAATAGACAATAAATATTCAACATTATTTTTTTTTTTTATGTGTTGAAAGTGTGAACTCCAACTGGGAAAAAATATTCCAAATAAGATCTCTTCTTTAAAAATTTTATTTGGAAGCTTCAACTGAAATAGAAAAAAAAAATTTGAAGATATTTTTGTGAGCTAAATATTTGAGAAAACCTTGTCTTTTGTATTAATGGGCAATAAATATTCAACTTTTGTTTTGGTATTTAATGTATGTGTTGAAAGTGTGAACTCCAACTGGGAAAAAATATTCCAAATAAGATCTCTTCTTTAAAATAATTTTTTAAATTTTATTTAGAAGCTTCAACTGAAAAAAAACTGAAACACAAAAATTAAGAAGTTATTTTTGTGAGCTAAATATTTGAGAAAAACTTGTCTTTTGTATTAATGGACAATAAATATTCAACGTTTTTTTTTTTTGGTATTTAATGTACATATGTGTTGAAAGTGTGGATTCCAACTGCGAAGAAATATACCGAAGAAGATCTCTGCTTTTTTTTAAATTTTATTTAGGAGCTTCAACTGAAATAGAAAACAAAAATTAAAAAGTTATTTTTTTGAGCTCAATATTTGAGAAAAAACTTGTATTTTATTCTTAATGGACAATAAAAATTCAAAGTATTTTTTTCTCTATTTTAAAAATATAAAATCTATATATTTATAAATATGCTTTTTTTAATTCCATTTTGGATTTATATGAATTGCAAACATTGTAAGCAAAATTCGTTTGAACTTTTGGGATATTAATTAGTATACAATTTATAAAAGTAGTGGTATTTTGCTGAACAGTGTTGAGAGTGTAGTAAGATAGAGGATCACGCATTGTGGCTGGTAAAAATCTTAAGCTCAATTTATAACAGTGGCCTGACGACTTGGCCAAGTGGCAGTTTGGGCTGTTTTGGGCCGCTGACGGCTGCCACTAAATAGTTGCCAATAATCCGTGTCCAAATTGATCGACCGGCCTGCCATTGCCTTTTACGGTAATGGACGAATTTAGATGCCAAACTGTTGGCCCCCGTCCACGTCCACACATACATACATAGATACATATGTGTGTACGTGTACTCGTACATCCATCCACTAGGCAGCAGCGCTTCATTATCGATGCACAAACTTGGGCGTTTCAAATGATTCGCAACGGCGCGACCGGCGCTGCATTTTGCATTATTATTGCTTCATTTTGTTGTGTGTTGTTTAGTGTGTTGTGGTGCGGTGTGGTGTGGCTCTGGCCGTTGCCACTGACTGAGTGCGCCCAGCAGCCATGGTCGGCAAATTTTCGGTTGCGCTGTCAATTAGCGAGTGGACGGACCGAATAATACCGAGCCAGTGTGTAATTTATGCCTTCTTCAGCGTCTGTCAGACATCAGCAATGCATGTTGAGCCGCAGAAGAAAAGTGCCAAACGTTTTCCAACTGACAACATGATGGTTACTAACTAGGCCAGTAGCATCGGTTGGGGAAAAGTGGCAATAACCCAGGCAGTTAGTTTGTCTAAGCACGTGGCATGGAGCTATAGAATTTACATTTCTTGCAACTTGACTGAACTTATCTTTTATAACTAAAGGGAGCTACGGCAACGGTTTTACGCAGTTTAAAAATCAATATGGACGATTGCCAATAATTAAAAATGCTGATAATCAGCTGAACATCTATCTACTTACATTCCTCTTTAAAAGCAGCTCCATCTGAGCAATCAGGGAGCTAAGAAGATTTCATTTAAAGCAAAAATCCAGCAAAAATTATGTTATGCTCCAAATATAGTACTTGTTGTGTATCAGGCCGCGTATATTTCCAGAATGTGTTACAATTCAAAATGTGTAGCTAAAGGGCACAAGATCAATGTGACCAGGTGACACTTTTACAATAATACTTAACAAGGTATCGAATACCTAACAGTACTATTAACTATTACTATTATAACCACTAAGTCACACATAATACGAAATCCTAATGCCAATGTTGTCCCATTAGAATTTGCTGTCCAATCGGACAGATTGCAAATAAAACCCATCTGTTACAAAAAAAAAAAAAAACAAAAAACAAATTCAATATTGAAAAAGAAAACTATTCTAACCAGCAGTAAAAAATTTACATTATTCTTGAAAATTAATATTCAAAGTAGAAAAAGTAAGTACACCTTTACCATATCAGTCATCTGGATTGTTTCCGTTTTGATACTGTTTTGACTTGATTAAATATAAAAAATGTTTTTTCTTTGGCAACTGAGTTTGTTTTTTTTTTTAAAATGCAAATTGCTAGTATTATTTTTAATGATGTATTATTAGTTAAATTCATTACTAAAGTCCAGTAATCCAAAAAAGAAACAACTACTTAGGTATTATAATCAAAACAAAGCCGGAACGGAAAATTAAGCATAAAAGTTCGTAATTTTTGAGAGCATGGGACAGAGGAATTTCTAGCTCGCTCACAGTTTTTATCTTTCTTGTAAACTTAAGTCAAGATCAACATACATATAGTATTTAAAATAATAATACAACGGATTAGTATAAAATGACATTTTTAAATTAGATCTTTGATATTCTTGATCTATCTCGATTTTGTATTTGGAGTTTCAATTAAGTCCGCTCTTAATAAAATTACTCAGAAATTTGGAATGCTAGTGTAATGGCAATATATATATGTCTCATCATTAATGATATTATTTTCATTAATTATTTAGTATCTTTTACTGTACTTGTACTGCAAAGGAAAAACGTCAATTAGAATCAAGGTAAAAGCATTAAACTGTGGTATCTGGTACAAAGCTATAAGCTAATAATACTCTTTAAAATAGAGTCAGTAATTAATGTGCACGACAGACAATGCAGTCAAAAGAAAATCAACTTGAACAAGTACCGTCGGCATCTCTAAAGGCAGAAACAGTTGAAGAAACCAAAGCAGTGAGGCTATCGGTGCACCGATTTGTGGCGAGTACGGCTCTACATATCGCCACCACATTGTGCAACCTGTTCAACGACACATGCAATCGCAAGCCCATTGGAACTGCTCATACAGTCTGAAATCGCATTTAAAGGTGAGAGTTCAGCCAACAAGTTGGTGGCGTATCTTGTTCGCTGGCGGCCTGGCCATTTGCCAAAAAGGCTTAACAATTACAAACAGCCGGTAATTAAAAAGAAATATGGGTTAACAAATGCCAGAGAAAAGTCAACATATACTAGCTACTCGTAGTTGTGCCACATCAGATTTTTATTTTACTTTTATTTCCCCACTATAAACACACTTCAAAGAATTAAAAAACTATAGCATCGGCACAACGAAGATTTAATGCTTTTGCAATCATTTTTTGGGATGGCTCTATTGTATCAAATAATTTATCCAATTACTCAGAAATATAACTATACCCTATAACAAAATAAGAGCTATTTTCAGAATAAAATATCAAGTTAAAGGTTAAAATCATTTCACAATTTATAATTTGAAAATATGAGATCATTTGAAAAAAAACATAATAATGAGTTCGAGCGGTCCTTCCAATGAACTAAATATTAAATCAGTTTTTTTTTAATATATTTAGAGAAAGTGAAGGAACTTTTGCTTAAAATAAGAAACATATCTGATCTTAGAAATTTTAGTTTCAGAAAGTGTGAAAGAACTTTTGTTTAAAATAAGAAACATATCTGATCTTAGAAATTTTAGTTCCAGAAAGAAAGATAAACTGCTATGAAACTAATAGATTCATTTATAAATTAACAACTGACCCCACTTTACCAACCGTTCCTATAACTAAGATCCTGTAATACTACCATAAGAACTTTTCAAGCATAGGCGTGAAGTTGGCATACCCTTTTGCAAGAGTATAGGAATATATTGGCGAAAGCAAACACCCACATCGACATCAGCTGTGTACGTATCGGTTACAAATCAGTAATGTGGGGGTGGCAGTAAATTTTTTCCTATTTCCGACATACTAGCGTCGGAAAATGAAAAATAAGCAGAAACGGGCAACGGCGTATACAGCGTAGCTGTAGAAAATTAAAAAATAACACAAGCGGGAAAAATTCATAAAAATAACTACAAAACTTACGTTGGCTATAGACAGACTACAAGGCCAATGAAAAGTATTTTGGGCACAATTTTAACAACGGCACAAGTCAATTAATTCATTGTAAAATGCTTTTAATATCCCAGCTATCCGATTTGTCTTTAAGTCAGATTAAAAATCAGACAATTTAAGGTAAGATAAAAAGCAGTGCCTAGAACGAAAATATTGGTGGTATGTAGTTCGCAGATAATATTTAATTGGTTTTATAAAATGTATTTTATTTTTTATATTATATAAGTGGTACAAATACACCTTGACTAGAATTTTTTTTTTAATATTATAATTTAAGCAAATATTTCGCTTTTAATTTTGGACAGCATTCATAATAGCGCTACCTAGATAATCAAAAAAGTAATTTAAAAAAAGCAAGCATTTATTGTTAACAAAGATCAATATTTTAAAAAATTTAGTACTGATATGTAATTTAATATTTAAATATAATAGCACAATTCACATTTTCCTAAAATATTTTTGGAGTCTTCAAGTTTTAATTTGTATTTATGCCATCCATCTCTCCAATTGGATTTGGTTTTCAAATTACGCGCCAGTCGCCAATGTCCAATTTGTGTTTTCCAGCACTGCCTGCCGCTCAACAAGTTGACAGCTAATGAGTACGGAGCATGCGCACTCCATCGTGCTTTCTCTCTCCAGCTCAATAGCTCTCCCAGTTATTCGGCCCGGCCTTCTTCAACGGCTGTGAAAACAAAAACAGAGCTAATCGTGTGTGGATACAAATTTATGCGAGACCAAAGCGCGCGATTTTAGCCACGCCAACGAAGATATTGCTAAGAAAACATCCAGAAGCTACTTGTTGACGAGAAAGCAACAACACACGCAGCATTGTACATACACATGCGAACACGCGGCGGAGGCAGAAACGCACGCACAAGAACTCCACGTCACCAGCATTAGTGTTAGGCCAGCAGGAGGACAGATAGGCTGATAAAACAATTGCCATACAGGTGTGCGTGCACAGGTGAATACCGCGCAACAGAATGTAAGCAATTGAGAATTTTAGAATTAAATACATATGTATGTACATACTAAAATTTGTATTACGCACAAACAGAAAATGCGTCAATTGAAGGGAAAGGTGAAGGAGACTCGCAAGCAGAAGAAGGAGCGCAAGGAGGACAATTTGAATATACAGAGCAAAATGAAGACAGTCGTGCTGCCTGCTCTGGGCACTTTGGCCATGTTGGTGGTGTTGTTTGTTTACTTGAAAACGCGTCCGGCCGTAATGGCCTAAATGTGTGGAACTTACGCCCCTAAATACAAGAATCTTCTGCTTTTGAAATAAAAGCGATACACTTAAATGCGTGCAATAGTTTTAAATGTTAATTTTTAGTAAGTATATGTGAGTGTAGTAACGAATGTTAATGACAAATTAAAGTTACATGATCAGTTGTCTTGGGCAACTCTGAATTTTAATAATAACCATAAACTATTTTTTACATAACTGTATATGTGTTTCCTTTTGCATCTAATTTCTAACTTAGTGGCGAAAATAATTTACAAAATTAAATCATTAAATTAGGAAAATGGTACAAGAGAAGGAAAAATTGTCTATATACAAAAGATTTCAGCTCATCTCGCTCGAGTGATCTCGTACCGGGCAGTTAATCAAAATCGAACTGATAGCCGCGATCGACAAAGCTTAGGCCGCGCTCTGATCTTGCAGGAAAATCGTCCATAAAAACAATATAGCCTTTGTAGTCTGGTGAATTTTTCAGCTTCTGCAAATAAAAAGAAAATAGATTTTAGTTTAAATCACTTTCAGAAATCTCAGAGATCGTTTCCAAACTTAAACTATTACATAGTTTAAAGAATTGCTCACCTTGGATTCTACATAGTCCTCGAAGCCGCTTAAGACATAATAGATCAGTAGTGGTGGTTCCAGACGTTGCATATAGCCATCCAAGAACCTGCTGTGCTGTCGCCGTTTCATGATGTTTAGCGCACAGTGCACAAAATTGGGCGTCAGTTGGCGGCAATAGGAAACATCCAGATGTTCCAGATGAGGACAAGATTCGATAAACTTAAGAAGCACATTGTCGGAGAGATAAGTCCAATTTCGCAGGCACAGCAGGCGGAGATTCGACATACAGGTGTAACGCTCCAGATAGTCCTCAGCATGGGTCCAACTGCAGATGGCTAATCGCTGAAGTTTCTGATGCGACCAAATGGGCAAGTCGGCATCCCAGCCGGGCTCCAGCGGCATGTAATAGCCGTCAACAGCAAATCCAACAATTTGTCGCGCCTTCCGCTCCATTATCTTGTAGAATTCACTCACCTCACGAATTTTATGATCGAAGGCATCCACATTAAGTAGCGCCGGTATATACCATTCAGTATCAAGCAGTACGACCAGCTGCTTGAGCGCCGGCAGGTCTAAGACCTCGTGCAGGACAGATTTCAATGAGGCTAGATTCAGTTTTAGGATCGTGAGATTCTGAAGCGCGTGAACGCAATTGTTAAGACGCAGTTTGCTTATCACATCGAACAGGCGTATGTCCAGCACCTTCAGATTTACTAACTTTGTGCAGACGTCATCGAAATAATCTTGTTGGAGCTCGTAGTCTTTGTGCTGATCCTCGTACAAATGCAGCTCCTGCAGCTGCTTGAAACTGGACAAGTAGCGTCCCTGAATGGGCGTTGTAAGACGCAGTCGGCGTAAATTAGGCAGCAAGTAGGTCATCTTTTGTATGCTGCGATCCGAGGGATAGCAGTCTATATCGTCCGGGTCATAGTAGAAACTGGTCACCATTGGCAGCACATAGATTTGCATTTCATCTAGATCCTTGAGCAACGTACACAGACAGCTGCTTACGTTCATTTTGCGAATGTAGGGCTGCATCAGACGTATAAAATAGCAGAGATCTTCGTAGCAGGGCAACAGTTCGCGCCATCTTTCCAAATCGAACTCATCGTACATATGCGAGTAACGCCACTTCGCCAGACAAACGGCCTGAAATCTTTTGCAGACACGGGAAACCGCCACTTCCGTTCGTAGATCCGGCAAACTAGCGAAAACACTCATCAGGCAATCATTGTTCAGCATCATTATGGATGCCGTTTCTTTGATGGGCAAGAGAGGCAGAGGCGGAGGTGTTTTTGTGCGTTCATTGGGTGGGTTATCGGCACTGTGGGCGGCCATGGCAATGGCAAAGACTGTGCGAAAGATCCAATGACCATTAAACAAAGTGTTACAGAAACTATTTTAGGCGGTTACTGACCGAAATTAAATTACCCCAAACAAAGCGATACTTATGGGCGTTAGAAATGCTGTATTAGTTCACCACAAATTTTTGTATCGAAATTAGATTAAATAAAAACTTTTGGCCTAGCCATAACAAACTTTGTCCAAATGTTATCATCTGTTTGGCACAGTGCTGCAAATGTTCCTGTCACTTGGCAGCACTGTGCACTGTTTCTGTGGCGTTGCCACTTATTATATCAAAGTTTGTTTGGCGCCAAAGACAACCCAAACGGGTTTTTATTTTTGGCTACTTATTTCGCTTTCTATTAGCCAAAACTTGTATATATATTTATATACGTACATGTATTAAACGCAAACTAGCAATATACGCGCCCTCATTTTAGTGTTATCGTTCATGCCAAGTGCGTGGTGCTAATTCTGCTTTATTTCATACTTGTGCCCCCATCCAAAATATTGCAGTTTAAAATAAAAGTTGCAACTTTGGAATTACAAATTCAAAGGGGTGCAGATAAAATACAAAATATATACATATAACAAATACATCCAGTGTCTATTAATTTAGTTACCAGATTACCTAACATACAGTGCATCCCCGCAATTGCACACCCTAGCAAGGCTTTCAAATCGTGTGGCACTTGAATAAATCATTAAGGCAATTCGAAAAAAAAATACGTAATTATAAATTGAATAGATGTAATGCAATTATAATCGTCATATGAAATAGCTTCCGGGTGAACAACATATTTTAAATATTGTCAACTTTGTCATTTGAAGAGTTTCACTGTATTGTACTTTTACTGTATACCCAAGTGTGCCAGTCAGCTGTTGTCAGACATCTCGCTTGCTCGCTCAAACAAACACAAAGCGTCGGCGTCCCCTCTCTTTCGCGCGTCGTAGTGACGTTCGTTGCTTTTTGTCGGCCCAGTATTTGTTGAAGCTCTCAAGGGTAGCGGGTAGCGACAAAGGTGGAATCAATTACCTGGCTATGCTTAAATTTTTGGTAAGTAAGCAAATAACTTACTATTGTTAAATTGATAATTACCCTGTGGGAACACAAAGTGCTGGAATTCCATTTATTCGGCTCTGCTTTTGGGCTTTTTATGGCGATGATTTAATGGCCCAAGGTTGTTGTTGTTTTGGTTCTTTGTCGCTGCCGCAGTCGACGTTGGTGCTGCTATCACAACAACAATAACATCACAAAGAAAAACCAACCAAACAGTTGACGTAAATTTAATGCAAATTAATGAAACTGACAAAATTGTTAACTCACGCTGGACAATATTTCTGCTTTATGCGTTATATAATTACCAAAAATATACATAATATTATGTATATATATTATTACAACTGCTAAGGAATACCTTTTGCAGATCTTAGAGTTTATAGCTGAGGGGACGGAGCCTGGCTCCCATCTGCAGATGCCTGTAGATCTTGTGAATAGCGAAGGCACATTTATTTCTTCGGTTCAAAGTCCGAACCATTTTATCATAAAAATTCAAATGTCTCAAACGAAAGTAGATTTGAATCGTATAGCTCGTATCAGTTCTCACAGTTTAAGAAACTCTCAACACCAAATTCGTGAAATTGTTTATACGTGTTAAAAAAAATAATTAGAATGTAAAAAGATGCCTAAAATGTTAAGATAACTTCCCTTACACTCCTCAAAGATTTTCCTGGGTCTCCACGGCCTAGGGAAACTATAAAGGGTGGACTATTTCGGGAGTTTTCCCTTTGCATCATTTGTCGAGAATTTAGAAGCAAACAAATTTGGCTAAACAAGATTCAAAAATAAAAATAAAAAAGATGAAACTGCTTGGTGCTTGTACGACTATATTAAAACATCAAAAATATAGTAAGGGTTGTAATAAACGTCCTATGAGCTGCGGCAGATGCGGTGGGGGCGATAAAGACGGCGGGTCTGGGAAGAGTAGGGGATGTGAGAAAAGAAAGAGGTGCGACGATAATGTGAGATGCGGTGGGAACAAACGCCGTGCCGCACCCTGCTGCTGTGGAACGGACCAGGTGCCAAAAAAACCATTTTGGACTGGCAGTAAAGCTTTATTCTTCTGTTTGGTCAGCAAGTGGCCGTTTTATCATATAATCCATAACTCTAATTCGTAACAAACATTTTATTGCAGCTTACTTTTGGGGCCGGTATTTACACGGGCATCTACATATCGCAAAACTATGAGGTAACGGACACAAATCTTTACAATCTTTATTATTATAATCGGTTTAAAAATGCTTTACAGGTGCCGCGTGTCGATGACCCCCCCAAACTGATCGAAAAGCTAAATGAGAAGATCCGAGAGTTGGCCGACGACCATAAGAAAAAGTAATAATTTATTGTTAATGATCTTTAAACAAACCTACAACCAAGCAGTTGACCTCCATAGTTGTTAATAACTAGTCTGTAATACATACAAAGCTTCGCACACGCACTCACAAAATTGTCAATAAATTGGGATAAAATTGTAATTCTAAATTATCCATCCCCCATATATTGTTGTAGCTATCCGGGTTATGCCAAGGCTCATCCTAGAACTCGTAAGAGAGGCGAGGAAGATGAAGATAACGATTCTGTCAAATTGAAAAAACTTAGGCGTGATAAAAAGGAGTAGCACGACTGCCAATTCATTTAAGCTGGGGACACGCGAGAGTCAATTTCAAGAAAACCTCAAGTTTTGAGAACTCAAGATACATACATACATGTGTAGGTCCAAAAGAGGCATTACGCTCTGGACCAGCATTATGTTCTGATGAGTAGGACAGCGAGTTTTTTATGCAACTGCAATATATTTTGGTAAAGCACTCAAAATTTTGCCATGAAATTGATTTCATAATAAAGTGCATAAAAATGTACCAACTTTTTTTACTGTAGCTAGAGAAGCCTTAATCATTCCAGGAACTGCTTCTCGCACCCCCAACAAAAATGGTCACTAATAATATCTTTTCTTCAAACAGAAATGCCGCGGAACAAATTGTGCATGACCTCAAAAAAGAAGCCAAAAAGATCCTGGACGATTAAGGAGCCCGATAGAGTAGAGTGCAATTTGTAGGAAACTCAGGAAATGCAAGAAAAGTCTACAACGTTTCATTTTTGTGTTAAGTTTGAACAAAATTTATCTATGGTCCAATAAAGCGATGTTAAATGTTACTAAATTATGATCAATAAAACATATGACAATTGTTTTGGCCAACTTGTACATTCTAGATGAATGAGATGCCTCCGCCATAGTATTCTAGACGCGTCTGGGGCTCTACAAACGCAAGCCAATCCGAAGCATGCGTCGGTAAGAGGCCCATGCTGTGGCATTTGTACAGAGCTAGACCGACATTGGCCAGATTACCCAGAATGTAGACAATACGCTGACCCGTTCCCTGGGCTCCTTCAGCCATCTTCGAGGTAACTTGTGTGGTGAACATTGCCTTAATGGGGCGTATTAACATCATGCCCACCATCATGATGGGAAAGATAGAAATTGAATTGCCGGACATGTACATAATGAACAGATTCATGGGTATCTGCAACGAAGGCAAAGGTTAGTCGAGGAACTTCACATCTACATACATATCCACATGCATATGTGTGTATATATGACTACGAAAAAAAAATTCAATTCACCTGTTTAAGTGGTCCTAAGGCCAAATCCCATGATTTTTTAATGACTAAACGCTGATCACGTACTATTTCAGTCTGATTGACCAGCGCTGTAGGATTATAGCCTGCGGGTGAAGGTATGTCCGCATTTTTACTAAAATGGCAACAAAAAACATTTTTGTATGTTAATAATTCAGCGTGACTTAACAGAGTGCCAAATAACCACTTACCTGACATTAAAGTCCAGCGCCCATTTGGATTTCCTGGAGTTCTGCTTGGCCGACATAGCAACGTGTATTTTTATATGAGTTTTAAGTTAATTTTATAGCTTAAGACACAAATTAATAGAAAAATTAATGTTTTTTTGCTTGAGCACTAATTTTAAGTGTTGAGCAATGCCAAAATGCGGCTTGTGACAGCTGTGAAGGGCGTGCGTGAGGCCATCTTAGGAATACCGATTACCCATTTACGCGCAATATGTACATAAATAACAGGTAACGAGTACTTATGTGGTCATTAGTTTGAGGTAACGAGTGCTTTGTATATAACTTCTTTTTATTTGAAAGAACTTTATCAGTTTCGGATAGATGTATTATTGTAGTTTTTATTATTATTTTTACACAGCTTATATAAACGCGACGCTTATTACTTAAGTTTGAATTTATATACGATTTCATGCTATTTATAATTGCTTCTGCTTATTTACGATGCCATTTTGTGTTGTATGAATATTTAGTTGAAATTCTTTGCTTAAACGTGCTTGGGTGGCGCTTGCATTATAATTGTACATATGTATGTATTTAATAGGTAAACAGAGCAAAATAAGTACTTCATAGTGTAGTACTTACAAATATTAAATTATATTTAAATTACATTACTAAAAAGATACGTGGGGACGACTGACTCATTAACGATTGAAAAATTTTAAAAATATTGCCCCCAAAATGTGCTATTGTTCGCAAATGGGTTTAAAAACGCTTAAGCTTCCAATGTGTCAAATAATAATGAAAGCTAATTTCAAATACTTGAATCTTCTCATCTTTGTTTTCGTTTTTCTGCATGTATCAAAAAGTGCCAGCGAGTTTTGGTTTTTTTATTATTTAAATTTTATTTAGAATTACTTCTCTTTTATATAGTACGTTCTTTTATCATTATTACGATTTATATAGTTTTTATGTATGCGTGTGTTTGGGTTGTTCTGCTGCAGAGCGACGACACAAACAAAAAAGTTCAATTTGTTTTCCTTGCTGATCTTCTTGTTGTTTTAAGAGCAATTACAATTACAGTGTTTCTCATTATTATTATATTTATAAAATTAAAAAGTTGTATATATTTTGTAGAGGAGAGGGGGGCTAAATAACTTAAAAGACAATTTATACCATATACTTTTTTGCTGTTTTTTTTTTTCTTCCTTTTTATAACATCCAATAATTATATAAATTTGAATTAAATTATAGCGTTTTTTCCATATGTTGTTGAAAAGTTGTATGATTTTAAAACATTTCTTTCTTGGAAATTCTAACTTTACGAATGTTTTCTCTTGATGGTTGCTGTTGTTGTGGTTCTTGTTGATCTGTTGATTTCCTTGCATGTCTTGGCTGAATGCTGGCGTTGTTGCTGTTGTTGCTATTTACTTTAAATCAAAGTTAGTGTATAATTATTTTGTTGTTGGTTTGTTGGTTGTTTTTCATCTGCTTATTTAGCGATTAGCGTTCTTTAGCTGATTGGACAACCAGTCGAGTCCTTCGTAAAGTCCATCGCCGCTAGTTGCACACGTCGCCTGTATGTACCAGTTGCGGTTTCTGAGTGAGTGTAAACCCAGCTTATCAGTTATTTCAGCCGCATTCATCGCATTTGGCAGATCCTGAAAGGCACATAAACAAGGAGAACGGTGAGTATGTTATAAAAAAGCATAAACTCTGAAAATGTCTGCCAATTAACGAATTGCACTGTGTAAGATCTTATCAAGCCCTGTAGATGCATGTGTGTGAGTTATTAGACTCTACCCGACCGCTTATCAATACCCTCAATTTTCACACACGTGCGCTAATGAAAGTGCGCAACGTCTGTAGCTGATATGCTTGCACATTAACTAAAAGATCGTTTGTAACGTGCCCGCTTTTTGAATCAATTCGTTACGTAGTTCCTGTTCCTACATCAAGTACTAATTTAGTTAACATTTGTTGGCCATTTCCTTCTTAGCTTAATTTTACGATGTTTCATTTATGAAAAGTGGCAAACTTTAAATCAGTTTAATTGTGGACAAGGTTTTTGATTATTCTTTAGATATGGATTGTTCTTTTAATTCTGGAATTTTAACTCTACTATCAATGAATGCCAATCTCTGTTCATGACATCTGGTTATATTTGCGGAATGAGAAACGTTTCATTGGCATTTCTACTGCTGCTATCATCCATCATAAGCACGCGATAAATATTTGCACTTGAACTTTGCACTTCTCCCACGTCCACTCAAGAACATTTAGTCTTTTACTCACCTGTTTGTTAGCGAATATTAGTAAGACTGCATCTCTAAGCTCATCCTCGGCCAACATACGCATCAATTCCTCTCTCGCTTCTCCAATGCGCTCTCTGTCATTGCTATCAACGACGAAGATAAGACCCTGTTATGGAATAAAATATAAAATACATATTAGAGGTTTGTCAAAATTAATTTCACTTTCATTTTGATTTCATTTTTGATTTGATCAGTCCCGTCTTGAAACAAATATAACTTTGAATAATCATTGTCAAAATCATTACAAGTTGTTAACATCATCTAGAATTGGGCGAGCTTGATAATATCCAGAACTGAACTTACTTGTGTATTCTGGAAGTAATGCCTCCATAGTGGACGAATTTTGTCTTGACCGCCCACATCCCACACTGTAAAGCTAATATTCTTGTATTCTACAGTCTCAACGTTGAAACCAATAGTAGGTATCGTTGTAACAATTTCGCCTAATTTCAGTTTGTACAGAATTGTGGTTTTACCAGCGGCATCCAAACCGACCATCAATATCCTCATTTCCTTTTTACCAAAGAGGCCTTTAAATAGATTTGCAAATACATTTCCCATGTTGCTTGTTTGTTGTCTTTAATATACGCCGGCGAATGTGATATTTGTGGGTTCTAAAACGAAGTTTCTCTTCTTGTTTATTATTGTATTTATGTGTTGGAATTATATTTAAGTTCAAATCCGAGTTTGCAATGCTGTTGGTATGCAAAACTCTATGGATTTGTGTGATTTGAGTTGAGAATCTGTAAAGAGAAGACAGAGATAGTGAAACATATGCTCATTAATGACAATTAAATGGATACAAGTACAAATGTGTAACAGACATTAATTGAATTTATTGCCTACTACAAGCATATGGCGAACTGACATGAAAAAAAAAAAACCATCCCCTAAAGCTAATCAAAAACATTAACGTTCAGCATCGTACCAAGCTTTGCAAGCAATCACAGCTGTTTCGGAGGAAGGAAATCTTTTGAATGATTCGGAAATTATAGTTATTTCATTAAGCTGACGTGTTGGTCAAAAACAATTGGATGAGTCAGTAACCGGCTTAGACGATTATGAAAAGTCGTAACAAAAGCAAAAGTATATGTATGTAATTCCATTATAGATGGTAGGATTTCGCAATAGCCGCCAATTATTGAATGGAGTTACAATTAACAATGAAGTTACTGCCGTCGCATGCTTCGTACTGATAAGATATTCAATTTATTTCTTATTTATTTTTAATGAAATACGTGCGGTAAATTAAAGCATTATTAAAGTATTAATAGTAACAAGTTCTCCATTATCAGGCAAACAAAAATCAAAGGGCAGCAGCAGCGGGTGGTGGCGCATAATTCGTCCACCAAAATGGAAAATCAGGGTGTGAGTCAGCAGTACTGGAGTTCAATGCAAAGGCGCAAATAGACAACAATGTTAACTATCCTATTCATAAAGCACATGCTCCCATGTACTAGTGTGTATGTGTGTGTTACGACTGTAACAAAAAGGCTGAAGTACATTCACACAGATATGCAATTCAATTAATCTTTTAATTGATTTCAAAGAGCATTTAATGTTCGGCCGACCGACCATCGTTGCCAACGAAACATAATGCGCACAAAAACATAACACGCAATTTTTTATGCACTATATTTGCGCGTTTCGCTACATTAACTGCTTACGTTTTGGGAAAACTTCAATTAGCACAAATACGTGCAAAAAACGAAGCAAAACTACAAAAAAAGAAGAAAACTACACGTAGCAACTTTTATTTGCCAAGCGACCAGCCAGCAGCAACACCCTGCACACACACACACAAATACGTAGTCACACACATACAATGAGCAAGCATTCAGGGTTGCCTAGAGTTGTGTGCGTCTTGAATGGTTCACATTTATTAGTGTTAAATAAATACAAAACACTTGGTAAGAGACCTTGACATGCTATATCGTGTTATTTTTTGCGTTAGCATATTTAATACTATAAATTTTGTTCTTTGAAACTAGAAAAATTAAGTTTTATTTAACCCACACATCAACTAGGCAGCCCTATACAGTTTCTACTCGTTAATATGTGTGCGTGTGTGTGTTGATTGCGATTGTGTGGGTACCAAGAAGTGATGACGGCGACGTATGCTTTTTTCTTTCTTTCGGTGTTGGTGAAATGCTTTCGTCAATATGCGGCACCTTTGTTTAATTAAAATACAGTTGAAATTGTGGTTTCGTTTTCACATTGCATATTGCATTGGTGTTAAATTTGATTTAATTGCACAATGCACTTGTTTTTACCGTTGTAGCAGCTTATAGTAAATTTTTCTTTGATTGAAATTTTCTACGGCAAACACACCACACACGACAGTTGCAAAGAAGGTACAACATAGTGATGGGAATAGTGTGGGCTGCGATAGAGCAAAACGATGAGATTTGTACGATGGTCGAATAATATCGATAGCGCTTTTTTAAATGTTGCGTTTTAGCAAACGAACTAATCCTTTACTTCCTTTTTGCTGAGTAATAAACCCAGTTTTTTCATATATCTCAATTGCATAATTTCACACCAAAGGCTACCAAACTATTCGCGCTTTGTTTAAAAAATGAAGATTTTGTTTATATAGCAATTTATGGATACTTTATATTCGATTTCGTTTTGGAGTTACAACTGCCATCACAAATTCCCCACGGTACGAGCGAACGAGATAAGCGTACACAAGCGTTAGAACAGTGCAACCACAAAGCAAAGCAAATATGCGTGTGTGTGTCACAATTTCAACTCCACATTACTGCAGCATTACAAGGAAATATGCTACTAAAAATTCATTGATGAGAACGCATTTGCGGAAGCAGTACCTAAAACTCGATTAAAAACACATACGCACCAACCAATTGAAGCAAATGCACACAAATTTGAGCAGAAATTTTATAAATTCCTACTTGGAAATGTCAAAATCACAGAGCGAAATAAAACTTGACCGAGAATACACTTGCCGTTGAAAAAACTGCAAACTCACCAGAGTTTCCGATAGACGAGCTCAGCGCTTACCTTTTCCCGTATGTTAGAGCAGCACGGCTGACGTGTTGTGTTGAGTTCGTTGCTCGCTATCTAAAATGTTGCCACGTCTTTTTCACGAACGAGAGCAGTATATACGTCAGAAAAGACCGGTGTGGTGAATTCAGCAACGTCAGAGTGTATATGTAGGTGTGCGACGAATGCACGTTTTATCGAGCGTCGTTTTGGCGCAGTTATGTTTTATCCCAAAACGCCCTTTTTGGGCAATTCACTCTTGGAAAGCGAAATTTTAAAAGCTAATGTATGTAAGTTAAAATTATTTTAAGTAGCACATTCAATCAAGTGTCAATCGCTGCACCAACTGTCATTGCCACTTCTTATAATAGGGCAACACTTTTTTCACGGTGCAACACTGACTGAACGTTAATTTTAAACTCTTATTTTCAGTCAGCTAGATTGCCGCAACTTTTAGAATGGCTTTGTGAGACCCCACGTATTACCACATACCGTGTAAATACACTACGTACAAGTGTAGCGGCCTATAAAAGCGAACTGGAAGCCAAATTAAAATCTCTATTAGGCTCGCAAGCGCCCAAAGTATTTGGCATGTCTGAACTACCCGAAATTGTTTGCATAGCTCCATTGCCGTCTTCGGAGGAAATTATTGATGCTAAGCTCAAGCACCTGATTGTTGATACCAGTTGTGGTGCTGCTTTGCTGCGTGGTGCCCACATTTATGCCCCCGGTGTCTTGGCCATGGAAACGGGCACCCAAATCCACGAACTGGTCAATGTCTTTGCAGATCTTAAGGGCAAATGCAAGCGCGGTACTGCCACACGCTACGAGAGCACAGAAAAGGTCTTTCTGGGCGTCGGGAAAGTACTCATGCAACGTTATCAGCTGTATAACAACGACAAACAGCCTTCCACAGGCATTGCCGTCAGCATGCAAACAAATGTTAGTGGTGTGCCCGCATTAGGGGATCTCAGCAGCTCGGATGCATTGTTACAAAATTTGCCATCCATTGCATGTGTTCGGGTGCTGGCACCACAGCCCGGAGAGCGCATATTGGACATGTGTGCCGCTCCGGGAAACAAAACCACACACATTGCCGAGCTGATGACCAATGAGGGATGTGTCATCGCATTAGATAATTCGGCCAGTCGCGTGCATGCCATGCAGTCGAAGCTCGTCAACTATAGCTGCATCGAGGCTCATGTCTTCGACTCCACCCGAGCACATGATGTTACTGCATCGTCGTCATCATCTCAGCCACCTTTTGGATCGCACAGCTTCGATCGCATTCTCTTGGACGCACCATGCAGCGGCTTGGGCAATAGACCCCAACTGGCCTGTCACATCAAACAGCTCAAGCTATTGCAATCGTATCCAAACATACAACGGCGATTGTTTGCTCAAGCCGTGCCACTTCTCCGGCCAGGCGGCGTGCTCGTCTATAGTACCTGCACTGTGACGGAGGCAGAATGCGAAGAAATTGTTGCCTGGGCTTTGCGAAAATTTCCTCAGCTGTCTCTGGTGGATGCCACGCCAAAATTTGGTGCGCCTGGACTGCCCAATCCAGGTCTAGATGCCTCGCAGTGCGTACTTTTGCAACGATTCGGTCCAAACAAGGAGGAATATGCTGTGCAGGATTTGGACACGGTTGGGTTTTTTATAGCCAAGTTTAAGAAAATAGCGAATATATAAAATTATATATGTATGTATGTACATTAAACCATATGCATGAATTGTTGAAACGATTAAACAGTGGTTTTGTAAATACATACAAACATGTATGTAATTGTTACTATTATTAATGCTCTCAAGTAGCGAATAGTCATGAAAATAATCGGATGATAAATGATTGTGATAATAAACACCATGTCAGTAGCCTGAGCGAAAACGGAGCTTTCAAGTTAAATGTTCCAAAACTTTGTTTAAACAACGATGGAATGTTACAGTCGAGCAAGGCCGACAGCGAAATATGAACAAACTTCCGCCGCTGGGTTATATATGCCTGCATAGCAGTTTTTGGACGTATTACTAGAGTATATTTGTTTCGCTAATAACTTCTTAGAATTTACAGATATGGATAAAAATTGAAACAACAGTTAAGAGTTTTTAATCATATAATCGCTAAGTTTACGTTAATTATGGGGAAAAGTGTCGAAATTCAGTTGCGGGAACAGGACTAGGGGACTAGGAGAGCCCTCATAACATGTTTGGTCAAAGTGGGATCAATCGTTTCCGAAATCTAGATCGATTTCTCTCGTCATTATTTTATTATTCCATTAATTTACAAGTAGTACAAATATTAGACACGAAAAAATGTTATTCAGAGGCCTCATCGTCATGCTGATTAAGAATATATTGCTTTATGGGGGGGGTCCTTTCCTGTTAATTAGCTGTAACAGCATTTACCATTTTAAAAAATGAATACCAAGTTCGTGTTGTCTAGAATGTTAATATTTTTCCGTGCATACATACGCATCAAATAATTATAACCTTTTATTAGTTGAGTAGGGAGTATCAAAATGGAAATCCATTATTTTTATTCCACATAAAGTTCGTCTTTTTTATTCTTTATCATAATCGAAGAAATTTGGAATCATGATTATAATAACTTGTTAAAGAAAGATTAATTAAATAGATAAATTATGTTCTTGAAAAAAGTTCATATCCACGAAAAATGAAATATATGTACATACTTGTATATTTACGCTCGTTTTGGGGGAAGGAGAATATTTCATAAGATTAAGGGTGAATAAAACCAAGTTAACTTGCCACTAAATTAGAAGAAATACAATTAAAAATTTACCAACCTTTCATTAACTAAAAAGGCAAAAGGTATAGAATAAATGGGAGATATTAATTTTCTGTTTAATATCGACAGTGAAGACCCCTAAACCTAGTCGAGTCGATCTATGTCTGTCTGTCCGTCCGTCCGTCCGTATGAACACCTGAATCTCAGAGACTATAAGATCTAGAGCTTACGCTATACGAGTTTGTTGAATTTCCACCCTATGGGAGATTTTTGGAAACGGCGTTTGTATAATCACCTATATCTCGGAGACTATAAGACCTAGAAGCACCAAATTTTAGTCGAAGATGAATATGCAGAAAATGTGTTTTTTGGAATTCCCCTCCCTCTCCACCGCAGTCATTAATTTTCATTTCTTGGAATTTGTGATTGAAATCAATCAAAAACAATCAATAAAATACCTCTAGTTAGTGATTATGAGTCCATATGCCAAGTTTCATTATGATAAACCGATTTAACAGGAAGTTACAGCCATAAATATAATTGCTGCCCAAGCGCTGCCCGCAGCTGTGGTTGTTGGTGCTTTGGTTGACTGCAAACATGCTCACACAGACACGAATAGACATGCATACACTCACATAGACGCAATTGCTATGTAAACGTGCAATTATATTATACACCCTTTACGTGAGTTCGAATACCGAGAGGGGTAAAATCGATTAACCATTTTTTTTAAATGTTCTTAATTTTTTAAATTTATATAATTATTCTAAACATATGTACAGAGTATTTCAAAGTCTGGACACCCGGCATTAGATTCTCTACTAGTTTTATTATATCGAATGGCTGTTTTGATGCAAGCTTCGTGTTATACAATGTCATGAAATTCTCACGGGACAATCGATAAAGATAGCAGATTCTAAAGCACCAGTCGATATATACATAGATAGCGCCACCAAGTCCTGTTTACTTTGGAACGCCCCTTGTATAGTACATGTACTTTCGCATCATTTTGTATTAAGATACATTTTGTCTTTTCGGTATATGTATGTGCATGTTCCCTTAAGATTTTGACTAAATTTTTTGCCAATATAGAAAAAATCCGTGGGACTCTTCGAAATTTCGTGGCGATTGGATTAACAGAATAATCTTTAAAATTGACCAAGTTATCTGTTTTTTGTTCTACATCGACAGATTGTCGATGAATAAATAAATGAAATGCCAAGGATTTAAGGCAGTTGAAGCACCAGTAACTGATTTTGTTATTGAAAAGACAGACCTCCTCCGCACTATACTACTAAGCACTTAGTCGAAACCTGTCAAAAAGTATACAAAATTTTACGATTACATTTAAAAGCAGTCTTTTCTCTGCGCTTCCCATACAAAGCGCCAAAAGCATATTTAAAATTTATACACTCTTATGTCTGGGTTAAATTAATCCAAAGGACCTATTCGAAGCCATAAAAAGTGTTGGGAACGATGTCAAGGACGCAAGCCTGCTACGCTAGTCTATCATAAAAGTCGTTTAAATTGGCCGAGGAATGGAAAGGGTATATCAGGCCTGTGTCAGTGTATTTAGCAGGTAGATGGAAGCAGCTTGGAACCCACAGCTTATGTATATTCATATATACTCGATCAGCAGGCCATGTTTGTTAATCTGTGTGGATAAACATCTATATTTCGAAAACCACTGACGATTCGTTAGCCAATATTGGTTTGTAGACCACCTTAAGCCTTAGGCAACACAAGGTTATCATAGTCCCTTTCCACGCTACAGAATTTCGTCAATTTTAAAGACAAATAAACACAATTTTGAACGTAATGTGTATCTCTCTCTATTTTGAATATCAGCGAAATCTATTCAACTTAAAAACAATTCAGGAACGAAACAATTTTCCGATAGCACCCCCAAAACGGGGTTTTTTTTCCTCATTTTGCCAGACGGGTTTTCCATTTGCTTTACTGTAAGATTCTCCGCTGCCATAGTTTTACATGATTTTTATTTATAAATACACTTTTGCATTATACACTAAGTTCAATGAAATTGTTAATGAATTTCTATTTAGTTATATGTATGTATATGCAATTGCAATACTAATTTACAACAATCGTTTTGTGAATGAGTCGCCTATGAACTCATCTCAGCTGGTTAAAATTAGTTGCGCTTTAAGTTGGCTGGCGACTTTATTTGTGTATAACTGTAAAATTAGTGAACAAAACTTATGCATTTAGGAATTCTAATTGTTTAAAATTACTTAAATAATGTACATATACATAAGTGTTTTCTATAATAAAGTTTTGCTTGATCTGTGTGTGTAGTCGTTTCTTGAATTTCATGTTACGCTTCTATCTGGTAGAGTTCTTTTTGTTGTCTTGTAATCGTAGTTGTTGGTGTTGTTGTCGTCTTAGAGTTAAAGCTAAAATCGACAACAAACCTGTGTGTGTGTGTGTGTACATCGTGTTCAGTTTGTTGATTTGTTTATAATTTAATTTTTACTTAAAATGCAAGAGCTGCATTTGGTTGCCTAGAATAGAGAATTACACAATGCGTTAAGTTTAATTAATAAAAAATATTAATGTATATGCAATATTTAATGTACTACAAGCCAATGCCGTTGTTGGTTTTACTGTAGAAATTTATATAAAAACAATATAGAAAGTTTTTTAAATGATAAATTCGTTGAAATCGATTTTAATACAAAATATAATAGGTGTAGTTGATTCTTTCAAAATTCTTTTGCGTTTTAGTTTCGAAGAGATTCAAATAGAAGTAACCTTTTTAATCTCAAGGTATTATTCGTAATATATATATATATTAATTAACACAAAACTATCAAAGTTAACTTTATACATTTGAAAAAAATGTACTTGTTATGTTAATATAATTTGGCAAAATATACTGAACTAAACAAATAGAATACTATAAGCCAGTTACTCTTAAATTCCCTGAAATTTTTAAAAAGGAAATGATCGTGATTTTATTGCTACATGTTGCATAAATTTCATATGTACTCTTCATTTCTAGAACAGAATTTAAAATAAGGCTTCTAGAACCTTTTTTAAAGCTACGCAATTAAGGAAATGTGTTCTAGAAAAGAGCGGCATTTATAAATTTGCAAGAAACTTTGTGCCGCCTATGAGGCTACGAATGGGAGTGGGCGGGCACAGAATCTTGATTGATCTAACAACGGCATGTGCTTTATATATACCATAATACTTAGGATCTACTTTATTTAGGCATTATAAATTTATTTACGTCGGGATGTTTAGCGTCTTGAACTGTTCGTCGTGCATTTCAGTCATCATAAAGGTGCCATCCTGCAGCAATAAAACAACGCGACGCGTGCCACCTGGGATTGCAAAAAATACGATATATGAATATTTATTTTAGAGGGATTTTATGATGCTGGCTTACCCGGTGACGGCAAGTCTGCCTGCACCACTTCCGCAGGTATATTCGCCTCCGTACCATCGCTATCCGATGTGGTGATGTGTATTTGTGCAGTGGGCGCCACAGAGGTTCCATCCTCACCGGCTGCCGCCGCTTGTTGCAGCGCTGCCGCCTGATGTTGAGCCAACTCCTCCTCTGTCATGCTAACGAGAATTTGCTCTCCGTCCGCAGTGGTCGCTTCAGCCTGATGATCGGCTGGCAGTTGGGCCACAGCCTCGGCCACCGCATTGTCCAACGTTAGCACATCCTGATCCTCGCCCTCAGCAGCAGCCACATAAGCAAACTGTTGCTCCCCATCGGGACCCTGGGTAACAAGTATGGTTTGACCCTCGGCATTCTTGCCAGCCACCTGATAGACGGTGCCATCTTCGCCACGCACCAGCAACGCGGTACCATCCTCATTGGTCAGGACTTGCTGATCCCCTCCGAGCAGCGCATGAGCAGCTGCCTCCAGTTGCTCGCGTTGCTGCTCCTGCTGCTGTTCCTGCTCCATTTGCAATTGAGTCTCCTCCTGGCCAATCAGCTTGCCCGTTATCGGACACAATCGTGCCTGATGAACATCCTCCTCCACTTCCATGGCAACGTGCGTCTCATTAGCTATCGCTGGTGTTCCACTCTTCATTGCTGTGGAACGCAGGCGTGGCGGCGTCAATTGCTGCACTTTTTGTATCTGTACCTGTGATTGTTGCTGTTGTTGGCGTTGCAGCTGCTGACGCTGTTGCTGTTGTTGAGCGGCACGCTGCGCTAGTAGCTCATCTCGAGTCATCACCTTGCGCGTGACCTTGAGATCTCCGGATTTGGAAAGTTGCAATATCTTTTGCTCGGGCGTGACCGCTTTGTTGCCGGCGGGTGAGTTGAGTTGACGTTGTTGTGGAGTCGCGCCAGACCGGGTGATCAGCGTCCGACCACCAGCCACTGCTCCCCGAGCCGCTGGTGTAGCGCGTGTCTGTGGCGTTCCCTGTATGCGACGCTGCGCCGTCGCATATTGGGCGCCGGGCGTGCGGAGCAGCTGTGTCCTTTGTGCCACGGTCACTGGAGAGGCAGTACGGGTTCCGGCGGCGGTTGTAAGCCGCTTGCTAGCCACCAAGGCAGTGGGACTGTGTTTCGGAATTGGCGACGATGACAGGTTGGGAACTCCAGCAGATTGCGCTTGGTCCAGGCGCACAATACCTGTATTGGAAACAAGCATCTCGGCCTTGGAGAGATGACGCACTAAACCTTCCTGTTTTTCACGCTTCTGCAACGAATATTACAAAATGTTCAAATTAATATTGCCCAGAACTTTATACTGAAGTGCTTTTTAAAAGAACACAGAGAAAGGGTGTTTTAAAATTAAAGCGTAAAAATGAGCTTATATTAATAATACGATTACTTCTGATATTGGAGCTTAAAGCGGCAACTTAGCTAATAAGTGTTACCTTTGAGAAGGTTAGAAGACTGTTTTGAATTAGATCTCATATAAGATTATAATTGATATCATTGGTGACTAAGTCTAATGTTTTGTGTGAAGAACTTTCGAAATTTTTAATTTGTGAGCAAACATCATCTACATTTTAATTGATATATATGGGGGCTGAACATACCAGATGTAGGGAATTGGGCACATCAGCTTTGCGCATCATGCCCGTGGCCGTGGCATCCTGTGTATAAATTAATTCTGCCATTTTTGAATTGGCCACTGTGAGGGCTGCATTGCCATTTACTTTTATGGACTTGTCCGTTCCGCCCACCTTAGGCTTGTTGATCTCAACGGATATGCTGCCGCCGTTTTTTAAACGCTTCACCGTATGTGAGGGTATTAAATCCTCCTCTAGATCCTCCAGACCCGTTGAATCATTGGAGGCATTGAAACCACCGTCCTGACTGGAATCTGTATTGTTTAACTTGCGCTTAAGCGCTGCCGTGGAACTCCATTCCTGTTCCGTGGGTGATTCATCATCATTCGCGGACGAAGGGGATGTCGAACCAGCGCCTGTACCACTCTCGCTAACCCATTGCTTCACCTGATCCATAGCTTTGGTTTTGGAAGTGCGCGACGGCCGTGTATTGGAGGACGCTGTTGATCCTACGCCGCCACTGGGTGAAATAGGTGCGGGACTAAGTGGTGCTTCGGTTTTAGATGACGCTTGCATCCTTTTTATGGCATCCATGTTTTTCTCGCGAGACAGCTTTTGACGGGCCAGCTGCTTTTCGAAAACTTGCAGAAAAGTGGGTACACGCTCCAAGTTCGCCGTTGACTCCCATGTGTTATCCATGTGGCCACGATCTACCCATTTAACAAGATACTCGTGCGTCTTGCGACGTGGATTGAAGCGTTTGGCTACGATTTTTTCGACAGCCTCCTCGGTGCATTTATTTGTCTGGGGATCTGTGCGTTGTGCCATGCGGTTGCCTGGCTTGACGACTCCACTTGTAGCACTGGGCGTAGGTGTGCCTGACTTGGATCTCGGCCGCTCATTCTCCGTGTCCTTGAGGTGGGCAACTGTAGGCAACTTTGCCGAGCTGGGAGATTCTGCAATGTAGTGCAAAACACAGCACATTAATGAACAAATTATTAGTTTATTTGTTCACTTTCTAGTACTCACTGCGTGTTGGGGAGCCAGAAGACATTGTATTGGCGTTATTGGTATTTGCACTATTGTTGTTATTGTTGGGATTTACCACCGTCTTTGTAATGCGCACAGGCATATCTTGAAGCTCACCATGTCCGATTTTGCCAAACGATTGTATCGTTTTCCCTGCCACTATCCATGGCTCACGCACACCTTCCTCCAATTTTACCCAATGCTGATACAGAGCCCATGAACTTGAGGCATTTGTCTCTTTGCGCGTTTGCAGCTGGGTTGCCTTCCAGAGGGTAAAGGCCCAAATTTTTGGTTTTGTATCGAGGGACTCTTTGAGGTTGGCATTTTCCTTTTCGCACCCGTCCTCTTTATGTGTCTGGAACTCTTCAACGAAGTGAAATGCCCGCAGGCAGCGTCCACACACAAGGACATCCATGTTGGCTAGTTCTTCCTGGGCGGCTAAATATGAAAAGTGTGGTCGGCATTTTTCCTTTATTATATTTAGCTCACATTTACCTTTAATTATGTTTGCGTGTTTGCCTATTTCCGTCGGTGTGATCTCCTGTGCCAACATTATACACAACACCAACGTTTAAGCTGAAACCGCAACAAATAGGTTGTAATATTAAATGCCTTCAACAATTTAAAAACAAACAAAAAAGAAACCAAAAGTACGCGCATACAGAGCACACAGAAAAAAAGTACAGTAAGTCGAGCACAATGGTGAATAAAACGCTGGTACTGACACTAACATGGTGGCAACGCGCCGCCTTCGTGCGTGTATGCAGGATGCGGTGAGTTTCTCGATGCTACAAAGCAGACTAGCCGATAAAGCAGCAGAAAACATAATGGCTGCAATGCAGCGCTAGGCCAGAAACGCAAGCACAAAACGTAGGCGCATAAACAGAGCAAACCGGGCGCGAAAATGAAAGAGGAAAATTGCATGTTGACTAATGCGGGCGCACGGAATGTTTGAGACAACTAAAACCCTTTTACATATTAAACGAACTACATTTAAACATATACCATTCCTCGTACGATACGCCGCCATGTTTAACACTTGATAAGTCGCGGAAAGCGCATTTGCAAATGTTTGGAAACCACAAAGCATACACACACGCCCACAACTAGTGCAAAGGTTAAAAAATACAAAAATGTAGGGCCATTTTTAATTTATTTTTATTTATACAACTTTCACATTATTTAAGCATGTTATTTGTGCCTAGACAAATGATTAAATTTCATTCGACTGTCGCTTTTAGCACATTTTCGCATGCTTGGTTTTCACGCAATCACCTTGGCCATGCTTTGGCCACATTTATTTGAAATCTGGCAAGTTAAACACACCTTCATATACAAAACCGTTTGGAATATATTCTCACAGATTAACATACAAGTTTAAGATTTGAATAATAATTTAACTGATTTTAGTTCGTACCATCACCGCGCGTTTGAACGAATGATTTTTACAGAAATCGACATGGCAACAACAACAATTTGAATGGTGTTGGCCTTAATGACTTTCACATGCCCTATACTACCTGTATCTCTATATAGCCAATGGTTTGTAAACACGTGCACCTATTACTTTTATGATCAACAATTGATGATATAGTAATTAAATACGATTAAGCCGATTTTTAATATAAATTTGGTGTTATTAAACACCGCAATGTTTCCACATAAGTCGTATATGACCAGACTATTGCGTAGCGCTCTTTTCCGTTCGCCCGTGGTTTGTAGCAGTTTATCCACCAATAGCGTCGTGTGTTGTGTTTGTATGTGGCAGTGTGGCACCTCTGTTTTTGTTGCCATTGCACGTTCTTTTATTTTTGCTTCTCCTTTTGCCATGCCATGTACATATGTATATTTCAGCTGTTGGCGGGTCAAGGAAGCATTTGTAATGTTAAATGCTTTGTTTTTAAAATGTTTGCCCGTTATAATTTTTCTTTAGTTATTATTTTTTTATTGTGAGTCCCATGTGGAATGAAATTACTGTACGAACGAAATTTACAGCTATAAATTTGAGCTAGAGGTTTTTGATTAGAGGGGAGATTTGTGTTGCATAAATATTTATTGTAATTAATAAATAATTATTTGTTGTTAAATATTTGAGTCTAATCACTTTTTTGTTATCAAAAAATTAAAAGTATAAATTGAATTCATTAGTTCGGAAGGGCTTCGTAATTGGTGTACCGAGGAAAGTAAATAATTTTTAAATAAGAACATGAGAAATTTTGTGAGAGTGGAGTGGACGAGATTATGTTCGTTAGTAAGTTTTCGGACGGAACTGAATTATTTTCTGTAACTCTGGACGAATTAATTAGTGTAGCAGAATAGTGTACCAATATTTTATTTGTGTATATTGTTTTGTAGTGCAGGTTTGTTATCGTTTCTTTTATGAATGTTTGAAATATACATATGTACATACATATATGTACATGAATTTACATTAATATTAAATTTTTTACAGGAATAAATACATGCATTTATTTTTGATATCTTACTTGAGGATTTAATCATTAATATTACATACATATGTATGTATATACATATGTATCTCAACATAAATAAATTTGTGTTACACATGTACACGTGAATGTCGATTTGCGATATTTAAATTCAAATTCATTAAATATACATACAAAAAATACATATTTATTTAAAATATATACATATATTTAAATTGGTAAGGATGCTAAGCTTTTAAATCGAAACCCAATAAAAAACTCGAATTTAAATACTGTTGGTTATATTTAGGTATTTGGTCAGCTGTTACTTGTATTTGGCCTTTTTTTGTGTGGACACACTTTTCAAAGAACGCCGGTTGCATGCAGTTTCTCGCGATTTGTTTACCGAAAGCTGTTGAACAAAAATAAAGTTTTGCGACGTTAAAATGGCTGATGACGAGAATGAAGATCAAAAAGAATACCGTTGGGAAACGGGCTATGAGAAAACATGGTAAGCGCATCATGTAAATAAATCCCAACGTTTCAATGGCTAACTTACGTTTCACCAGGGAAGCCATAAAGGAGGACGACGATGGCCTGCTCGATAGCGCCATAGCTGAGATTATACAAAAGGCTAAGCGCAAACGGCAGGTGCAAAAGGCTAAGCAAAATCGGCTGGGCATGATGCGACATCTTTTTGTGGTGATTGACTGCTCAGAATCGATGAGCGTGCCTGATCTGAAGCCCACGCGGTTGCTGTGTACTCTTAAGCTCTTGGAGATTTTCATTGAGGAATTTTTTGATCAGAATCCCATCAGCCAGTTAGGGATTATTGCGCTGAAGGCTAAACGGGCGGAGAAAATAACTGAGCTGACAGGAACAGCGCGTGTTCATTTGAAGGCACTGGAGGGGTGAGTGTTCGGACCAAAGACTGCCAAACTGCTTTTTATATTTCGTTCCATTTTCCTATACAGTCTCGCAAATGTCACATTAACCAGTGAGCCATCACTTCAGAATGGCTTAGACATGGCACTGAAAACACTCAAAGTAGTACCATCCCATGCATCGCGTGAAATTGTCGTCATCATGGGTTCGTTGACCACATGTGATCCCGTCGACATAAATCTGACTATTGATGAACTGGTAAAGGAGGGCATACGTTGCTCTGTCATCTCGCTGTCGGCTGAAATACACGTTTGCCGCTACCTGACCCAGAAGACTCTTGGCACTTACGGCGCTGTGCTGGACGACGCGCACTTTCGGGATCAGCTGCTCTCGCAGGTAGATCCACCGCCAGCTGCCAAAACGCAACATAACTCACTCATTCGTATGGGTTTTCCACACAGTAAAGACGAGGTGGAGGGCAAGGATGCACCACTTTCTATGTGCATGTGTCACGTTGATAACTTGGACGAGCCCAGTGAGCTCTGCACCACTGGTCATCATTGTCCGCAGTGCAAAAGCAAGTATTGTGAGCTGCCCGTCGAGTGCCAATCTTGTGGCTTGACTCTGGTCTCAGCGCCGCATCTGGCTCGTTCTTATCACCATCTGTTTCCGGTGCCCAACTATGAGGAGCTGTCCATGGAATCGGTACCGCAACTTTCTGAATGTGACGGCATTCGCAAGTGTTATGGTTGTCAGAAAGTATTGAGCGCTCCCCATGACAAAATGGTGTTTAAATGCAGTCACTGCAAGCAGTTCTATTGCATCGATTGTGATATTTTCATACATGAAACACTGCATGCCTGTGTAGGCTGCAACACTATACCGGGAGTTGCTGGCTTGATTTACCAGCAACAGCAACAAGGCGGCAAGACAATCGCTGCTGAAACACACGACATGCTCCCGAGCACCTCCAAGCAGCAACGCCAGTTTAGCATGTAATATGAACAAGCGCTTAAACGCTTTTAGTTTAAGTCACAATAGTCAGAGCATTGTTGAGCATGCTTGGCATTGCCACGCGACCTTAATCTTCTCAAAATCATTGGCTAATCGTTGCAGTTCAATGTGCAGCATAATAATCATAAAATATCACCACAAAGTTAATGTGTACGTTAAAGCTTTATTTGTATTTTATTGTACTTCATGGAAACATCTGGTGTATTAATTGGAGTTAACCCACAGTAATTCCTTTTTAATCTGTTATTTTTCTTCTTCTGAAAAGTCCTCTGTAATGTTAAATTCCTTCACGAATCTGTTCTACATTCTTTCCATTAATGCGATCCACCAACGTCTTCCAAGCGAAAGTGACCAACTCTTTTATGTCTAAATATGAATCTTTATCCAATTCGAACCGTTCATTATCGCCGCAATTATGCAGCATTTTTTTCAAAACAACCGAGCATTTATATAAAAGCTCAACATTGTCGGTAAAACTTTGACCATCATTGGAAATCAGCTTAATGGATTCCATTTTTGCGTGAATCGAGTTCTATTTGTTAAGAAAGATTAGCAATTGAATTAAATAATAATACTCCGCTGCAATCAACCAATATGCGGGTGGCAGGTGAATCACATTTTTAATTTTATACTAGAGCTGGAAAAAACATCGATATATCGATGTTTGGGCAATATCGAAAACTTCGATGTTTTTGTTGCCCATATCGATAATTGGGTACTTTTTTAAAATTCGAAAGCGAAGAAGCAGGATGAAATATTTTACTCCCAGATTTATTATTTATTAACTGGATTTGAATATATTTTTTTATTAATGTAATAGTTTTGGAAGTAGTGGTGTTGACAGCGAACAGGGATGTAACGTAAATTCGAAGTGCATATACAAGTATGTACATATGTATGTATGTACATATGTATTTAAGAAATGAACACGGGCTGGCTCATTAAGGTAGTGGTTGCCTGCTATGCATTGAAGCTTCTATAAATGTTTCCCCACTGTGTGAGAAGGAACGAAAAAACATTGATAGCCCCAAGGGGGAAAAGGAGCCATCTTTTGTTTGGCGAGCAGTCATGATTCATTTAGTTCTGTGGTCAGGCGGATCATGGCCGTGCCATCCACATTTTGTGCCACTGAACGCACTTTTAGCAAAGCTGTCTAATTTATAACGGAAGTAGGAGATTTTAAAAAAGCAACATCGTGAATAATTTGTTATTTTTGAACAAAAATATTGATCTAACAAATAAAGACTAAATCAAAATAGTGTATTTGGTTTTAAAATATCGAAAACATTGATGTTTACCAACACACATTACAGCTCTATTTTATACGTATGTATATCAGTATGACCACATTTTGTAGATTCAAAGTTGATATCAAATATATCAGTATGACCACATTTTCTTGATTGATATTTGATGGTAAATGTCGTCCTGTAAGAATACTAATTACTGTTAAAATACTGCAAGCTGATTTTGTAACGAAAGTTATCAGCTCGCAGAATTTAATTACTTAAGCACGTATTTTATTATTTATATCTACACACAAAAAGTACCGATTTTAAATTAGAAGGGAAGATAGTCGTAACAATTTATTGTTGATCAAAAACAACTTCATCAAACTCTGTTGGCCAATAATACTGCGGCTTTATTAGTATTTATACTAATAAAGCACTAGCTGCCTATCAGCTCCCGAATCAGCTGTTTAAGATGTGCGGCAAATTTGAAATTATGCTGATTTGCATGTCATTAAAATATATGGACACACTGATTCGAAGGTACTAATTTCATACAGCAAGTTTATTAATAAATTATTGAAACTATGTATGTATATTGGCAGTACGTTATTCATTTGTATTATTCAATGATAAAGTGATGATTAGGTGTGTTTTTAATCATACTTTATGCATGTTCTTGTAAGAATTTTTTGAGAATATTCGTCTAATTTACGAGTGTTCGGAAATGTTATAATATTTATTCGTATTATTCAATGATAAAGCGATGATTAGGTGTGTTTTTAATCATACTATATGCATGTTGTTGTAATAATGTTTTGAGAATACTCGTCTAATTTAAGAGTGTTTGAAAATGTTATAATATGATTAATCAGGATTTATGAAATAAAAAAAATAAACAGATTTGTAAGCTGAAAGCGGAAACTGTGAGGGGTAATTGTTGGCTTGTTTTATGCGAATTTGATAGAGGTCTTAAAGTACCTATTGGGAGAAATTAATATATGTATCACTTCTCAGCTATCTCCATAGTTCACAAACCGATGTGTTTAATTATTTTAGGATCTGCAGTTACTGGACCTACTACAACAGGTAACTAAGCTATTAAACATTTTCTCGTATATTCAATCGATTTCCGACCCTGGATCTTTATTAATCCATTATACCTGTGACTCCGATAAGGCTGTCTGATATCCAGCGATGAGGAATTGTGTGTGTTTAGTTGTAGAGCATTGTGGTTTCGGCCAGTTGCTGCCAGCTCCCAAGTGCAACAACAAGCCATTATGCTATTAATTATAATTTGTTTTTAAACAATCATTGTTGTTGTTTTTATTATGTGTGTGCTTTGCTGTTTTCGTTCACAGTTAATTCTTATTTCTATGCCAAGTTTGTGGCTTTTGTCCCAAGCTCGCGTGAGTTGAACGCCAACGCTCGTGCAGTTCATTTGATCGCCGCTCGTTACGCGCTTATTTTGGGTCTAGGCGTATTACATACATATACTATGTACATACATATATAGCATGGTATAACTATGTCATTATTAGAAGAGTACGTTAGACTAAAACAACAATAGCAGTAACAATAAATGCGTTGGTGTGTGAATTTTAAAGTGTGTTACCCAGACCAGTCAGTTGGCAGACAGGTAGGTAGATCGATGCTTTTGGTGCTATAGAGCTAGATTTTGTTTTACGTTATAATAAAATATGCCATAAATCGAACAACAGCTCAATGACACTGCTTTAAACTAGTAAAAAACTGGTTTGAACTCAGTAAAACCGAAAAAGAAATACGATTTATTATGACATTTTCAATGTGCAAAAAATATAAATACAAAAAAAAAAAATAAACAACGGAAAAACATAAAATATGGCTTTTAGAGAGTTTGTCAGTCAGCATGCATAAATTAAATTTAAAATTAATTAGCAGAACTGTCGGGACTATGCAATGCAGTGATATGTTTTTACCCCTGAAATATATTTAAATATTGATTATTTCTTGTAAGTGTTACAAATATGTAAAATGGAGAGAGAAAACAAATTATTGAAAGAGTTCTTAAAGTGAATATAAATTGGGAATAAAATGAATGCTATAAAAGTGAATAAGTAAGTGTTAAGGACACGTTTTATTTGGGAGATATACGGATGCGTTATAACTATTATAGGACTGTATGCAATCTCTTAAAGTGCGGTTAGTATAATAAATGGAGCACTAGAGAAAAACCACAACAATGATTCCCAGTTTAAATATTATTTGTGTGTTATCTAAAGATATTCCAATGCACCCTTCCTTTACCTTTCTGGTGGCTCCATACCGTCAAAACTTCTTGACGATCGGATGGAAGCCAAGCTATAACACGCAAAGTAACACGATACAATAAAATTGCTTAGAATTCAATATTCCGAAGACATCATTAAGAAGTAAAAAAAGACACACAATTATTTTATATTATTGTGACTGATACTGAATCCTGAAAACAATCGTAAAACAGTGGGAAAACTGAAAAATGTCGTTTGGAGAAGTCAAAATTTTTGTTGAATTGATTCTACGATTCAAAGAGGATATATGTACATATTTATCGTGAATTCGTTCTGCCTGGCCAAACAGTTAATGCTGTTTTTTATGTACATATGAATATATGTACATACATAGTGTATGTATGTATGTAGTAGTGAAGAAGGAAATTGGGGCTTGTTGAACGATAATGTGCGTCTCATCGGTTGACACTTCTGACTGAATAATAGACACACGATTACACCACATTTTAACCTTTAATCGCCTGATTTGCATTCGTGTGATTATTATCTATTCACTCAATTGAATTTACTTATAAAAGAAATGAGATGCAAGGACGTCGAGGCCATTAAAGAGATAAACTAATTTTGAAAAATTCAAATTCTGCTTCCTGTTTACTTTGGGATTCACCTTGTACTTTGTTATTTATGCAGATTCCTAGGTCTAGACCTAGAATGCATTCTGGCATTTAAGTTAGTAAGAAACAGTTGTTTTTTCATTAAGCAGAATTCCATTACTGAAGCGCACTAAAATCAAGTATTTCATTTAGATTGTTATATAGTATGCGACTAAGTTATTATTCTACTACAAGTATTTACGAGCTCTATTCTTGCTCAGCTCAAATGCAAATAAACTAAAACATGCATAAGAATGCATGTCAACACTTCTATTTGTAGTGTAATATTAAAAATGCAAAAATACCGGTAGACTCGTTTTAAATGAGCGCAGTTTACTTTTTGTGTCGACATTACAAATAGTTACAAATCACAGTTAAGTAAACTGGCAGACAAATCTATTCAGGCCTCCCTACAGCTCGTCTTTCTGTCTGCCTTGACTGACTAATTGTGCTGCCCACAATGTGACTGCTTTTCCGCATCGAATCCAACCTGAATGCTACAAACATACATACAAGTACATATGCATAGTACGTATATATGTGATAATTGTGTGAAAGTTGAATGAATCAGATAATAAATGAAATGCTTTATTATAATGCACTAACGTATATATGTACGTACATACAACAGCAAGTCATTCTAAATATATTCATATACTAGGTATACATATATAGTACATATGTACATACATATATGTATGTGTGCATATATGCAGGCATATCGGTAACAATTGCCAGCAATTAACGTTTAGCTAATTAAAGGTAAAATTACGACTGAACGCCCCTGCCAGCCTGACAAGCCCCAAAACGCAAATTCGCAATTTCGCTTAACGGACGACTTTTCGCGCCAACATTTTCCGTCCGTCATCATGGAAATTGCACGGGAAAAATGACTGAAAATAAATGTCGTTGAATTAAAGCAGTCGCAAAAATGTTCATTAGGCTGGCAAAAGTTTGCATAAAATACGCCCATGGGGAAAATTTTGTTAAAACTACACAAAATTCACCATAATAATTTATGCAGGG